GAAAAAGGTGCCGGAACGCGGTTCCGCCGCGTTCCGGCTGAAAAAAAGCCCTGGAAAAATCTTTTGAGTAAGATGACTTTGACAATATGGACCTCGTTTAGAACCAGTTATAAATCAAGTTGTACTAAGGCAGTCAGTTCAGACACAGGAAATGATTATTTCCAAGCTCCTTGTAGCTGGGTTACAAGTGACCATGCTAAGATCTACAATGTGTCTAAGTCACATGGGTTACGATTTGAACTTATGAAAATATTTGAGGAAAATTTGGTATGAGTTCTAAGATAGCTACAGTAGGTAGCTAGTTAGAAGATGCCAGGTCAGACTTGACTTATTTTCTAGTCTGCTATAATTGACAGTATATCCAGAGTCACATAGGAGATGCCCATGTCTGATAACTGGAAATTTACAGTTGAATTTGGGATCTTCTGCATGAAAACTGTGTAACAATCTGCATCAAGTTGTGATTTGCCAACCTCATTAATTAGTAGACTTTTAACCTCAAAGTTTTCCTCAGATGTACAGAAAGTACAAATGTGATGATGCTGATAATTGTAATGTCCTCAATAATTAGTTGATGAGATGAGAAAAGTGTGAAAGTTCCACTTTGCTTTTGCTTTATAACTGTGCTGTTGAACAGACTCTTTGTATTCTTAAAAATTTATTTGGAAGGAATTTACTTCTGATTTTAAACAACTGCTAATAATGTAATGCATCATTTTTTTATTAATCCTTTGTTATAAGCAGAATGCCTTAGGCTATAGACATGGTAGATTTGTCACAGGAAAATGAGGCTGTCTGAATTATAAACACAGCTATTATTTTTGTTCTTGCGTTGCAATTACAATATAGACATGTCAAGTGCCCTCAGACTGGCCATTGCAGTACAAATGATATTTCAATTTCTTTATTTTTCTGAAACAGATTTCCCTTTTTATTATATGGAGGTAAAACAGGAAGCCTTTGTACTACAGTTTTTGTCCTCTTGTGTTGGATTTCTAAAAGATAGAATGAGACATTTGCAGGGAAATAATGTGAACTCTTCCAAGATCGAATGGCTATATATGACTAACATGTGTCAGTCATGTTAGTTTAAAAACTCTATTGATTCATCTAATTTCATTACTTGTTTATTATTGATTTCAATTATGGATTCCTGAAAAAGAGATCTGCTTGCTAGGAATGGACTTACATATGTGATAACATATAGGTATAAATAATCTGATTCCATCTTCTTATTTATTTACAGAGAGTAATTCAAAAGATGTTGCAGAATCTGGTTAGCTTCTAAAATCTGTACAGGAAATCCTCATAGCTGTCTCTTGCAAACAAGATGCTCATAAAGAGATCTGTTTACTCTGTTGAATACAGACTTTGAAATTTGCACTTATCTTCATTCTGATGATTATATATGTTTTCTCTCTCTCTTTCTATGTATGTATGTATGTATGTATGTATGTATGTGTGTGTGTGTCTCTCTCTATATATATATATAATTTGTGCAAGAAAATCTAGTAGCATTAAATAATTGTAAAGTATACTTAAAGTATTTATTTTAATAAGCTGATACTTATTAATTGGTTATTTATTTAATTAATAAGCAAAACTAGGAACATCATAACATGCCTTATATATCTGACCAATAGCAACAAACATGTTTCCAATAGCAACAAACATGTTTCCAAACTGGTCAGTCCAAGGGTGAAATAATGGAATGTGATGATATAATTTTTCCATTATGACATGAGGAAAAGAAATGAAGCATTTCTGACATTCATAAATCCTATGGGCACCAAGCTATGACAATATTGATTCTTTCTAAATCATATAGCAAAAATCTTATGGCAAAGGATTAACAAGATCAAAGTGGACAGTCATAAAAAAGAAATTCTAAAAAGAAACTATAATTTTAAAACTGAATAATATAACAAGAGACCTACTGAATTAGACAAAGACCTGTCTAGCCAAGATTCTGACTCTAACAGAAAGCTCATGGACATGAGATCAAGAGTCTTGCTTTTGTTTTTAAAACAAATTTATCCTTCCTGGATGTGTCTAATCTTCCTTCTAAACAGGTAAATAGGTGGCAATTGCCATATCAATGGTAGCACTTTGCGCTGTATAAAGAAACTTACTTGTTCTCAGTCCCAATTTCCAAATCCTAAGACATTTGACCAAATTGCCCTCTATATTGTAACTCTTTGTTTGCAAGGCATTTGCTTTCATTTCCTGAATTTTGCATATTGGGTTACCCTTTTCCCCCTAATTTCCAAATAAACAAATAGAAAACTATAAATTATTATAGTAACAGCTTTGAATAAAGCAGGATTTGAATGTGCTTGTCTTCTATGTTTCCATGTGCCTCTTTGTGATGGATTGATGATTGAACTCACTTGCACCCCCTACCGCGTACTGTATAGGGGTGCACACCAATGCCTGTTGCTATGTTTTGGTTTTTTTCCTCCTGTTTTTGTCAGTGGATTGCCTATTGAAACCTTTATACAACTCCTCTCTTCTTCCTACTTCTTTTTTCCTTATATTTCTTTTCTAGTTTCCTGGTTGGGCATTTTTAGTAAAAAGGCCACAAGATGTTACTCATCTGTATCGCTCAATATTCTTACAGAATGTGATCAATATTTGGAATGTCACCTGTTGCTATTCCTACATTAAAATAACGGCCATGTATTTTAAATCCATTTTTTTCATTGCTCCTTTGTCTTGGGCATAGAAATTTTTACAAATGTTGAGTAGTGGTGAAGAATTATACTGGTGACTTGACACTGCTGAGTTGGAATGATTAAAGGACATAGTAGCTTTAGAGCAGGGGTGTCAAACTCGCAACGTCACATGACGTGTTGTGATGTATCGTGACTTTTTTTTGCCATTGCCGGCAATGGGGTGGGTGCGGTTTCGCTATGATGCATCTGGCCAGTGGGCCGCAGTTTGACACCCCTGCTTTAGAGTAACACAGTTTCTTTTAGTCCATATTCCACATCTCTAGTATGACTCTATTTTCACTATTACCCAATGTAAAACATTTTACAAGGCAATACAGTAGTCCTCAACTTATGACCACAATTGAGCCCAAAATTTCTGTTGCTAAGAGAATTTTGCCCCATTTTATGACCTTTTTTGCCAATGTTGTTAAGTGAATCTCTGCAGTTGTTAAGTTAGTAACACAATTGTTAAGTGAATCTGGCTTCCCCATTGACTTTTCAGAAGGTCGCAAAAGGTGAACATGACCTAGGGACTGACCTAGGGTGAATTTTAAATAGGGATAATTTTTAATGATTTTAATAAGAGACACAGCTACAAATATTTGGTTTTTAATTGGCTTTTATTGGGGAAATGTACTATGTTGTTTTAATATGCTGTGAGCCGCCCTGAGTCCCGTGGGGAGAAGGGCGGCATATAAGTCTTAAAACAAATAAATAAATAAATAAATAAATAAATGACCCCAGGACATTGCAACCACCATAAATATGAGCCAATTGTCAAGCATCTGAATTTTGATCACGTGACCATGGGGATGCTGCAATAGTTGTATGTGTGAAAAACAGTCATAAGTCACTTTTTCAGTGCTATTGTAATTTTGAACAGTCACTAAATGAACTGCTATAAGTCAAGGACTACCTATATACATTTCTACTTCATATTTGCACAGCTCTGAAATACTAACCTTCTGGTATTGGTGTTCTAACATGCTGATACCCAACATTTGGGGGAAATCTACTGCTTAATATTACGTATTTCATTAGACATTATAAATAAAAAGGAAATATTTGGATAGGAAAAAAACTCAAACTATCAACCCTTCTCATTTTATGTACTCCATTAAGTTAGATAATAGTTTATTAACTTTTTTTTATTAACTGTTAATGTACAGAACAGCTTACCTGACAGGCAAATGCAATTGGATCAGCCACTTTCTGAAGCATCTTCTCAAACTCTCCAACTGTTGAATAGTATTCAATCTGCACTGTGGCTTTAATGTCTCCTCCACAGTAGATATTTACATTTACAAAGCCAGCAGGAAAATCTTATAAAAACAGAACATTTTAAAAGTTCAGTGGAAAAAATGAAGAAAAAGAAACAGAATTATTGCCAAAACCTTTCCACACTGATTTAGCATTCAGAATGCTTCTATGCTATCTATTCCAGATTGAGAAGTCAACGATTCACAGGGGAGACAAATGTGCAAAGAAGCAGTGAGCAATGGAAGAAAAGAATCAGCAGCAGTGGAGCAAGAAGGCAGAATTAAAATATATTTGGAGGCTAGAGAACAAAAGAAAACAAAGAAAGCTTTAAAATATACAGCATACTTGGAAATATTTACGGACATTTCAGTGAATATTCTGAGTGCTTCAGGGTGGAGAAGAATTTCCAGCTGCACACTTAAGTGATAATCTATGTATTAATTCTTGTAATGAAAAATGTGATAAGCTAAACTTGCTGGTTTTGTGCTCAGCTCCTGGATGTCTACACTACAATTCTATCTTGATGACTCTTTTTTGTGTGTGTGTGCTTTCTAGTCAGATTTTGATTCTTGACAACTGCTCCAACTAGTCCCTGAACTTTTCTTGGTAATATTTCTGAAGTGATTTGCCATTGCCTGATTCTTAGAGCTGAAACAAAGAGTGGCTGGCCCAAGGTCACCCAGTTGGCCTTGTGCTCAGAACTCAGTTTCTTTTTTTTAACCTGTCGCCTTAACTGCTCTACCAAGTAGGCTCTCTTGGTAGCACCAATAAAAACATCTTTAAAAAGCAGTTGAGGGAAAATGGTTTTCAGTAGGACAGATTAACAACGTTTAATGTTTTCAACTTTGGCAGTACTTAATATTTTTGAAGGAGCTGAGTGCTGCAAAATGGCTATGAAGATATCCAACATACAGGCAATTTTAGATTCGGAGAAAATTCTTTTTTAAAAATTATAATATGCACACGTTAGGGCTTATTTTTCATATGCTTCCCATCTCGTAATAAAGAAGTGATGTCAGTTTTTTAGCCATGGTCAGAGACACATGCAAGAGCCACAAAAAGTTTCACTTGCTACATTGGGCAATCCTTTGTTCAACTAAGCTGAAACCACTGATTTAATAAATATTACTTAATGTTACAATAAAAAAGGATGACTAGATGGTTGAAATAGACTATAAAACACCAAAATATGGCCAAATATATTAGCGCAAATAAATGACAAAAGAATTTGAAAAACTCACCACATGAAGCAAGACAATATCTTCATAAATGTCATGCAGTGATAATAATATGTGCTACAGATTTATGCTGTTTTACTCTAAATAATGTGTGCAGCAGGAACTGATTAAGGCTAGCAAACTATGACTAATGAATGACATTTTAAAGACTGTCAACTGCCACTTTATCATGAATAAACAACCAAATGTCTCCAGTTTTTAATAAGTCAAAAACTTTTATGCTCTGATTTAATAAAGTAGAATTTGAAATCCAAAGCTCATACATAAAAAGTAGTATTGAATTATAATGGGAAACACTGTATAGCACTCCATTATGTTAATTTTATTTTTCCTAAACTAGTACCAACTCTTACCTAGAGCTTTGATGAATCTGACTTTCTGATTCCAAAAATCTGGCTCAATTCTGATCCATTCATTTTCCGTTATAAATTCAATGATTACTGAATCTTCAGGGACATCATCTCTTAAAATAATGAACATTTCTCCAGGGCACTGCAAAGTATGAGTTGTATCCAATTATTCCTTTGCGTCAATACATCAAATCTATACAATTTGAATTACATATTTTCATGGAAGTTGTTTGAAACATTAGCAGAAGAACATATGTTATCCAGCTACATATTTTCATAAAGCGATTATTTGGCCTGCATGAGAACATGGATTATTTCAACAAAACATTTGCTCTTTGTAGTAGGATGCACCCTTGAACTGATTTTAGGGCAATAGTGAACTCAGACTGTAGGACTTTGTCATGGTCAGATCACTTCCTTTGGAGATGTAGATTTCTAGATGGCTATCTTATTCCTCCCCCCCCCCTTTTTTTCAGTAAATGGAATAGACATTGTGGCCTATTAAAGATTAATAACTGTTGCAACAACAACTTTCAACATCCTTTTCTGGGTACAGAGATAATGCAAACAAGTCTACCTCTTTTGCTCTGCTATTGTACCATGAGTTTTAGGGCTAAAATGAGTGCAATAACAAACTTGCAGACTTACTGATTTTGACAGGATCTCTCAAAGACAGGATCTCTTAAGAAGCAATGGATGCAAACTAAGGATATCAATGAGAGAAGCATCCTAGAACTAAGGAGAAATTTCCTGATAGTGAGGACAATGAATTAATGGAATGACTTGCCTCCAGAAGTTGTGGCTGCTTCAACACTGGAGGTTTTTAAGAAGAGATTGAACAACCATTTGTCTGAAATGGTATATATTCCTGCTTGAACAGAACTAGAAGACCTCTAAGGCCCCTTTCAATTCTGTTATTCTCAAAACATTTAAACCCAAACTCATTATGACTGTTTAGCAGAGATTCAGTTGTAAAAAGGGAGTCTTGCTCCTTTTTCCTAAGCTAAAGTCTAAACCCCCCACCCAGCAGAACTTTGAGATTTATTTTTGTGCACTTTTCTTTTAAATGGAATAAAAAGAATGCACTTGTGGGGATTGCATTTTCTTTAATTGAACTTACCTCACATGGTATCCTTTTTGGCAACACTAACACCTCCGGCCTTCCCACCGTCTCCGTCACCTCCTCACTTTCCACACTTCCATCACTTAGCCTCAAGCTCCTTTCTAGGTCCGAAGATAAGGGATCATGTGCACCTGCCAAAGATATTATTTTAAGTCATAGAGGATTTGGGTTAATGATTGCCAAAGCTATCTCCCACAAGCTGAAGCATTCCTCACTTGTGAAATTGCATATTAACTGATGGTCTTTGAGCAGAAATATTTGTTTATATGCTAAACTTTGTCTTTGATTTATAATTAGGCATTTGTCATAAATGCCTCTTTTTCTGTTGATATGGTAGTCTTTTGTGCAGGCACCAAAATAAAATTGGATTTAAGTGCCAACCAAAAAAGAGGGAACCTACAATCTAAATGCATCTTTTGAAGTTCAGATCAGGTGGTAGTTGAATTGCAACCTATTATGATTAAACAACAATGAGTTTAATTCAAGATATCCTTTTGCATGATAGTAAACACAGAATTTACTTCATAAAGTCATTGATCAGCTATACGTCTAATGGCTTTCCAGAGATATTAAAAACTTTTTTCTACAAAACTCTCCAAGTTTATGTTCCAGATGTCAGGTTTGGAATCAAATGGATCATTTAGCCAGAGCATTATGAAGTAATGTTCAAATAGAAAAATATATCTGATGAGAAATTCAGCATATCTAAATTCCTCCATAGCAAACATCAGTTTTAGATTCAAGTTGTTGTGATTATATTTTCAAGCAAAGCTTGTACTTGGGCCAAAATATCTTTTAAAACAAAATAAATAAATAAAAATGGTAGCTAAGCAAAAGTTCAGTAAAGATTATTACAGAGCACTATAAGGTAATAAAATTCCATCAGATAATCCACACATTATTTACTATAAACAGGCTCATAAATCCCTATCAGCATAATTAGTATGCCATCACTGAGTCTTTTTCATCATCCCGAGATCTGAGCAAATCAATTGCTTTCACATCTGTCTTTTTCTTTTATTTCCCCAAAGAGTTCCAATATCATATTGTTTTTCATTTTCAACTTGCACACTAACCTTTTCCTTTTCTCCAGCCCTTGCACAATTCACATTAGTCAATCAATCCACATTGATTGCTGGCTCTGGAGCATTCCCCATCTGTCTTTGCTTTATTGGATATACTGTTTACTTTCTTACCATTTGTCTTGTCAGGAGTTTGCCCTATTCTCTTCAATATGGCCCTTTCATTTTTTTCATTCAAGAGCTGTACTTCCTCTCCAGTCAGCTTTCATTATTGATCTATTAAATTGATAATATGAAACCCTTCTTTTTAAAAGTCTTATTTTTAACAGCCACAGTCTTCTCTTGCTATCTCAAATCAACCATTTTTCACAAAGTTTCCTTCATAATATCTCCCAGGTTGGCCCTGGTTAGTGCTTAGGTGAGGGGCTACCTTGCAAGGTTAAACTATAGGCTAGTTGAAAAGTTGAAAACATCCCAGAAGAAGACAGAGGCAAGGGATAGAATCAAGATCACGTGAAGTGTTAATACCACTTTACAATGCCTTGGTAAGGCCACACTTGGAATACTGCATCCAGTTTTGGTCACCGCGATGTAAAAAAGATGTTGAGACTTTAGAAAGAGTACAGAGAAGAGCAACAAAGATGATTAGGGGACTGGAGGCTAAAGCATATAAGGAACGGCTGCTGGAATTNTATTATTATTATTATTATTATTATTATTATTATTATTATTATTATTATTATTATTATTATTATTATTATTATTATTATTATTATTAGTCTAAAAGTTAAAGCACCAGATTAGAAACTAGGAGAATGTTAATTCTAGTCCCACTTTAAGCATGAAAGCCAGCTGGGTAACTTTGGGTCACTCATTCTCTCACACAGAGTTGTTGTTATGGAGAAAATAGGAGGGGGAAAAGAGTATTAGGTATGTTCACTACCTTATTTATAAAAATAACAAAGGCAGAATAAATAATAACACCCCAGGTTTAACAACTGTTGATAAAAAAGACAAAAAAGTCTGGATAGTGGATGTGGCAATGCCTGGAGACAGCAAAATAGAAAAGAAAGAACTGAAAAAGATAACAAAATACAAAGACCTTTAAATAAAAATAGAATGACTCTGGCAAAAGAAAGCAAAGGTAGTACCAATAGTAATACCAATAGTTTCCCCGAAAATAAGACCCGGTCTTATTATTTTTTTTTGCCTCCAAAAGAGGCACCAGATCTTATTTTGGGGTGGTGGTGTGTCTTTCCCACAGTCTCACCTTGAGGCAGCGGTACCGACAGCTCCATCCAGCTGGCCCACTTCTTCTGCGGCCAAAGGAAATGCCTCCGCAATTGAGAATGGAGATCCGGATTGTCGTGTGCAGTGCCCCCCCCCCGGTCTGCATTTCACCATCAGAGGCCTTCTGGAAAGGCCTCTGATGGTGAAATGCAGCCGGGGGATGCCACAGAAGACGTGGGCCAGTGAGGTGAGGCAGGTGTTGATTCATGGGAGGCCTGGCTGCAATGGTAAGCAGTGCAGGGCACGTGGGGCAGCTTGACCCCCCATCCCAGCTTGATTTTTAGATTTGTGCCTTGCCCCAAAATTACGGCTTATTTTTGAGGTAGGGCTTATATTAGGCCCACCCCCAAAAATCAAAATAGGATTATTTTAGGGGTAGGTCTTACTTTCAGGTAAACACAGTAGGTGCCTTGGAAGCAATCCCAAAACAATTGGAGCCCCACTGGTATTGACAATTTGAACACCACTGGCATTGACAATTTCACCCTCAGTCAATTGCAAAAGGCAACTTTACTTGGAGCAGCTTATATCCTGTGACGATATTTGTAACACCATCAAACATCCACCTATCAAACATCTGCCTATCCCAGATCCTTAGGAAGGACTAGGTTGGTGGACAAAAATGCTAAATTCAATGTGAACATCTGGCTGACTGTGCAATGAACCATAATAAAAATCACTTCCCTATCATGCCACAAAAGATGCAAAAGATGCATTTATATAAGTCACCAATGTCAATTGGAAGGTGATTTGGGTTTGCTCATATTATTTCATAAATTAATAGCTAATCCAAATCTCAGACTCCACCTCCAACTTCATAAGACTTGCTATTCATTCATTCATTCATTCATTCATTTATATCCTACCTTTATTATTTTTACAAATAACTCAAGGTGGCAAACATATCCAACACACCTTCCTTCTCCTATTTTCCCCACAACAACCTTCTGATGTGGATCGGACTGACAGAGAGTGATGTCCTATGCCTTGGTCAACCATGATGTTTCACATATTAATCAGAAGGAATGGAAGGGTGTTTTTGATATAGTCTGGGAGGGATTGAATAGATTGTAGCAAAGTAGAATGTAGCAAGAACTCTGAAACTGGAACAGAAACTTAACAACAGATGTAGAAGACTAAGCTAAAATCTTTCTCCCTAATAATTTAATAATTTAATCTTTTAAGTGTATATAGATGGAACTGAAACCTCTGTTGCTTTCTAATACTCTCAATTACTTGCTAATACTCTATTTGGTCTAAGTATTAAGCTGTTAAGTCGGAAGCTCCCATTTAAATGCTACAGCAGACATTTACTGTAAGATATTACTATCATAAAATTGTACTTTTAGAAAAACGGCTCTGATATCCTCTGAAACCAGCAGCAGGTAAACCAAGACAGGTTGCACAAATACTTTACCAAAACATGTTTGCAAACTTGCATTATCAATATTTGGAAAAATAGGTGACATTTTTAGGTGAACAGCCCTAAAAATTCATATCCTTGAAAAGCCTACCAGTTAGAGGAATCCACTGGGAAAGGTTCAGAAAAACCAAGGTGGCACATCTAACTATAAGGTTGAAGGCCACCATATAAAAAGTGACACGAGTGTATAAATAGACATAGATACAGATGATATAGATGTAGATGGTATAGGTAGATTTGGATGTAGATGTATACAAACAAAGTCATCCTGTTAGTTCATTAACACATTAGCCACCTTTTAAACTAGGAAAACGTTTGGAAAGTAAGTAGTTTTAGAGGTGGATATATTTAATAATTCATATTGAACAAAGACATGTGGGATACAATAATGCATACAAGTTAGTAGAAAAACAATTTACCTCTAATCTTGTAGATTGAGAAAGTCTGCATTGAGTAGCATATTTCTCTTGGGTTATGTAAAGAAATCTTCCGAGCATTAGCAGCGACATTATAGTATATGAACACAGAAGCTGTCCACCACTAGATGGCGTAGCAGAGACATTTTATTGCAAGAAGAATGCTCCCATTTATTCTCACCAGCCCCGCCTCAAATTTCTTTATAAAGAGCTAGTTTTTTTAGCAGGATTAGTAAAAATCAGAAGAAGCTCTGAACTAAAACGCTATTATTTCTGTTCACTTGCAGGAGAAAAAAACTCAAGTTATTAGCCTATTCTATCTTTCCCATAGCCCAAGGAAGAATGTGTGGGTGGTAGAAAATGTAGGTGGATAAACACAGGCACTGTTCCATATTCAGAAAACATTCGTGATCAGCATTTTCATCCTGATATGAAGCAAATGAAAGAAATACAAATGCATGAAAATCTTCTTTGTCCTGTATTACTTATACTGAAGAACTTTAGATACCAGATCTGAGAATCTTTGGTAGCTGGGAGACCATACCTTTTTAGTTCCTAATTCTTGTTAGAAAGATATAGATATAGATAGATACAGATAGATAATACATAAATTCATAAATATCTACTTCTCTGTATATTATTTATAATATCTATCTATCTATCTATCTATCTATCTATCTATCTATCTATCTATCTATCTATCTATCTATCTATCTATCTATCTATCTATCTATCTATCCATCCATCCATCCATCCATCCATCCATCCATCCATCCATCCATCCATCCATCTAATAATATATAGTGATTCTTCTCATATAAATAATTTAACATTTTTACCTGAAATAAGACTATTGCATAATCATGGTTTGAAGAAAACAGTACAATTTCATTAAGATGTGAAGATAAAAAGCAGGAAACAGCTTGCTTCTGATACCAAAACAGTATTTCTCTCTGCATGGAGAAAGCACGTATATTTGA